GACTGACTATGGGGTTATGGGGTATATGTGACTTTTGACTGGATGTGGTGCTTGGAGGGGACATTGATGTCATGCTAGGAGCTACTGGGAATTTTCTTCAGGCCCCTGGGAAAGAAAGAGGATGTTGTAATCAAGGAGATAAGAGGAAGTAGCCATGTGAGTAAGCATCCCTGAGTTCACCTTCTTCCACCTTGAACTACCACTATGAGGTCCTGTAATTTTTCTAGGGCAAAACTCTTCAAGTACATACTTTGGATTGAATGAAGAGATCAAAACAAAGAATTTTTGCTATCTGTCTTCCTCGATGGCTGGAGATAAGCCATTCATAAGAAATATTTTGATTCAATTCCTTAATGCATTGTTGATACCATAACCAAAATTACAGATCAGTTCACTTTCAGAAAAAGAAGAAGCACATAAAGGCAGGGATAAAGTCCTTCAATGCAAGTATCCCTGGCAAGGTGAGTTCAACATTGTGTAATATAAACTACAACTGATTTCTCTGACTTCCAGAAAGAGAAAAGTTTATACTGATATTGCCGTAGCAAAATCAATCTACAGGTATGCTATGTCTGATATGAGGTTTTTGTTCTGTAAAGTCAAAGACTGAATTTTAGGAACAACAGAAATTAACAGAAGAATATACTTATTGAGAGAAAGAAAGCTGCCTGAGAGAGAGAAGGGGTCCTGAGCAGGTAGCCAAACACTGTCCTTTCTAGGGATCTTTATAGAGTAAAATCATGTGGTGAAATTAGTTTAAGGTGGGGAAAACTAGGAACTCATAATGCAGATGGGCATAAGATGGGACAGAGCTAAGGTAGCCAATAAGATTATAAGTTCAGGTAAAGTTGATTAACTTGGGAACAAAGTGGGAATGGAGTCACAAAGAAAGCAGGCATTCTTAGGCAGCTCTGACTTCCCTGAAGGGTTTGGGAGGGTGACTCATGAGTTCATCAGGATGACAGGTACTACATAGAATGTCAGTCTTTAACAGGATACATTCCTTTGAATAGTGACTCCTGACTTCCTCAGAGTGCCAGGGAATTATTTAGAATATCAATCCTTAGGATATGGATGAATTTTCTTGTCATTTGTATTCAGCCTTGGCCTGTAGCATGAGGTGTCAGTCTTCCCCATAGTTGCAAGTTATCTGGACTCCTGCATGGCCTCCTTGGGGGACCTAGCCCTGTCTCCTGCCAATACTATTTAAATAACTCAGGTCCCTGTAACAGTACTGTTTGGAAAAATGATTACAGATGTCTTGTGCTCTATGTGAATGATCTGGGGATGACAATGTGCAGTGTATATACCAGTATTGCCCCCTGATTAACATGTTTTTAAGTTTAAATTTAGTTGATGTGTTCTTTTTTCCTTGAAATCAAATGGATTTGAAAATTAAAAGCCTGAGGTAAAGCTCTTCAGTACAAACACTCCTCTGTCGAGCTGAGTTCACCACTGTAGAATTATGGCAGCTCCAGAAGTCTCTGCACTACAGTCTATCATTTGGGATCCTCTCTTGCAGGGAGGGGTTCCTTTCTCTGTTTATTCTTGACTCAGAAGGAGGGCAGTAGAGCAGGAGTCAGTCAGTGATGAAGGGGCAGGCTATATGAACTGTCCAATCAGACAGGCCATTGCTGGCTGTGACTTCTGTCTCTTTTGATGTCTCATCATGATTTACCTGTTCTGAGTACAATACTGGTAGCAAAAGGCTTTCTGGATCTCATTTAGTACTTTTGATGTCCTGTGGCCTGATTAGCAAAGAACCTGAGAGATCTTGGAGCCATGGAATGGTGAGGTTGTGGATGGGAACCCAGAGATAGGGTGGATTGGGCGAAACCAGTTACAAGTATATAGGAGTAGTTCCGGTGTCTGGAGACTCAGGTATTTAGTTATCTTCAGCTCCTGAGGTCCTCAAGCATTGGCCATGGGTCATTCACTGTCCCTTTTGGCTCTTGCTGTTGGCAAGGGTGATTTGGAGTCCCCAGACCCTGGCTTCACTATGACAGCAGCAGACTCAAGTATCATCTTTGAAATTCACTGCAGGCCTGGTAACTCCACAATCTTAGGCATTGGAAGGAGCTTGGGAAGACCCTGACTATGATGATTTTTTTAGTTTGTAGAGCAGTAATGAGCTACGTCTCTGCTCTCTTTCCTCAGAGTAGCTGATCTGGAATGTCCAAAGTTCATTAATGCCTGTAATGCAGGGCCTTATAGTCACAATGGCTCAACTTAAACTTTGGCATTTTTGTATTTATAGTGGTCTCCTATATTTATAGTATGTTCTCATATTTCCATCCTCATGACAGGTAGTGGCCAAGGTCCTGAGAATTCAGCAATGTGTATTAATGTGCCTCAGTAGAGGAAGGCTTCCCAAACACCTGGTAAACTTCTGTGTATTATACAGAACAGTGCAAAATAATTTCTGAACATACTTAATTATTTATGTGGCACCCCTGCTCACAGACTAGGTTTGTGAGCACAGCCATAGAGTTTTGAAGTTTGAGAAAAATGAAGCAAATATGAAAGTGTTATCAAGGACAGGGTAAAAATTTGTTAAGGACAAATTCCAGAAAGGGCTACTTGTTAACTTCTCATCAAAAAATGCCAAAATTTAGGCATTTGCAGGGACATATACACATCATATCATTCTAAATGGAAAGGAATAGGGGTGTCATCTCTGAATTAAGAGCTGATTTAGTAGTTTGGTTGTTCATAGACAGTTTAAATATGGAAATGCTCTGCAATAGACTTTACTAAGTGGTGTAAAGGAGATGCTCTAAATAGAAATTTTGCAGTGATATCAATAGTTTGGCATGAAGGGTTTCCTGCTGAGGATGGATCAGAGGAGCATGGAAAGAATGTGCAAGTGACTGACAGGATGCCGCAAGCCAATAGCAGGACATACAACAGAGAGGGTCTTCACTGAAATTCAGGTAGTTCTTAGAGTATGTATGAAGTTAAAGTTGGGTTCTGATTGCTTCCTTAAGGTGATCAACACCAGCTCTGGCAACAATCAGTATTTCACATCCTTGTCAACCCATGTATTTTTTGTTCCATACTTGAGATCTAATTTGGATTATCTCTAATTATGCTCCACTGTCATGAAGGTAAAATTTGGATTTTTTTTTGTACCTAGGATCAAACTCATGACCTATGCTTTCCAGGAAGTTGGTCATGCCACTGAGCTAAATACCCAACTATGAAAGTGTTTTCTGTGTAGTATGGAAGAGATCCACATTGTTTCTCAGAAAGTGTTGAACATTATTGGCATTTTTCGGGATTGTATGGCTATAATTTTTAAAAACAAACCAGAGGTGTCTTATGCATTCTCTTTTCAAGTTTCACTTTGTCTGTGGGTTGTCTCAGTCAGGGTTTCTCTATTTTAGACAGCTCTGTAACTTAGGATAGCCCCAAATTCAAGGGAGAACTCCTTCACCAGCCTCCCAAGATATATTTCTTATATCTGAATTGAAAGTGATCGCTTGCTGACAGTGAGCTATAAATTACAGCTTGGGCCTGGTTCCATTTTATATACTTATTTTTTAAAAAACAGTATTTTCCACTAACATTTGAGTTAATATTTGTGTACCATATTGTATGTTATTTATGTTTTGTTCTATGAAACCAAATTCATGTTTCAAAATGCTGCTGACGTATATTAAGAACAAAGTATTCACTGGCCTAAATGAGATTTGAAGAGACATTATCTGTAGCCTATCAAAGTGATTGATGAGATTTTTTTTTCTTTTTTTAAATTTTGAAAGTGGTAAATTACAACAGAACAAGGCAGAATAAGGCCAAATAAGATCATACAGTGAAATTGGTACACAACTTCACAACAGGTTACTGGGATAACAGTAATAGGTATCACAGCATATTTTATTATCTTTACAATAGTTGTTCTTTCAAACACGTATATCAAAATGAGATGAAATACAGAACATTATAGTACTTATCAAAACAGAATATTGAATAGAGCAATACCATTAATCAGAATAGAGCAAAACAGTAATAAAAATATTTGCCTTCAAAGAGATAGTACAAGGAAGTCCCCCTTATTGTAATGGTCTGCTTCCCAGGAGATGCTCAGATTTCTGGTTCCCATTTGCTAATGGGGGCTGACAGGAGAAGTGGGGTAGGGAAGAGGAATGTTTGATTCTAGGCCATGCATCAGTAGGTTCACTATTGCTTAGTAGGGAGACAGGCTGCTTGTTTAGTTTCACGGCATCCTAAGTTCCCACATGGCGTGGATCTCAGGAGCTGTTTCTGGTTCTCCCCCTGGAAGGGCAGCATTCTGCTAGACTGCCACCGCTTATTAGGGAGAAGTGGTGCTTGCTTGCCTTCCAAGTGTGCTAAATTCCAGCACGGCATGGATCTCAGGAGCTGCTGCTGGTTTGCCCCCTGGATGGGCCACAGTCTTCCACACTGCCACCACTTATCAGGGAAGGGAGGTGCTTGTTTGGGTTCAAGTTGATTGATGGGATATTTATCTGCCTCTGTGCTTTGTGGATGCTGGTCCTGCAGGCTTCTCACTGTGAGCTCTGCGTTAGAGACAGTATACAGGGAATATTGCAGTGACTCAGCACAAGAATCAGTGCTCCTATTTCACTGTTACATTAGCAGTGAGTTGCAATCTATCATCAAATTTGCTGTCTTCAAAAATGTGTATATACACAAAATTAATGACCAAGACATGGATTTAAATTTGAAGAAATCAGTCTTCATTCAGCTGTTTGTTTGGTTGTATTTGTTTACTTTTGTTTTGTTTTATTGAGACAAGCTTTCTATATGTATATCAGCTGGATTTGAACACCCTATGGAGCGTAGAATTGCCCTGAACTCACTGAAACCATCCTGCCTCAGCCTTTTGAGTGCTGGCATAATAGATATATACCACCACACTTTGCTTTTGATTCAGATTTGTGGGAGAGAATTGAAGATATCCCAAACCTGGTGTCTTAACCTTCGTGTGAGAAATATATGTATGATCCTTTAGGAGGCGGTGACCTTTGAGGATGTGGTCGTGAACTTCAGCAATGAGGAGTGGACTTTGCTGAGTCCATCCCAAAAGAACCTCTACAGAGATGTGATGGGCGAAACCGTTAGGAACATGACTGCAATTGGTAAGGACAAAATACTTTTGTCCCTCATGCTGTCAGAATGTTGTATGTCACTCATTAGTGCTATTTCATTAAAAACAACATGAAAATATTTTTAAAAATAGCTCAAACCTGGACACATTATATCATAACTCTAAACAAAATCTATTAATTTGTATGTATTATTCTAATGAGCACTGGTATTTCTATGTCTACAATTCAGGAGGATTTGGGGATATCCAGGAAGCTGAAAAAGAATGCAAAATTTACTGGAGATACTTAAGGTAATTCGCACTCACAAGGAGAAGGAATGTTTCTGAGTAATGAGTGAGTCAGCAGAAAAATGACTGCCAAAGAAATGAGGCACCATTCAATTTATTGTCAGTAATATTCTCCAAAGACGTATAAGCTAGGGTATGTATAATGAGTGAATTAAATCATGAAAATATATGATATTGCATATAGATGTGTACGAAAGGCATATACTTTGAGTTATGACATTCTCCCTTCAGTTTTTCTACCCATATATACATGTGAATACAACACATTCATTATCTAAAAATTTCTATGATTGCAATAATTTGAAGTAAAATGGAATGCTTGTGTTTGCAAGCCATGCTCTAAAGAATCAGCCATTCTGAGTAAAATTCTTAGAAGGCTGGTGGAATGTTAAGTGCACTCATTCTGAATATCAGTGTGCAGTTGTCTCTAGAAATTGATCTCCTCGTTCTTGTCCTGGATATATTTTTAAAAATTCAAAATCCACATAAAATACTGATAAATGCTTACTCATATACAAAGCAGATCAAGTTATAATAGATCAGGCCTTGAAGAAGCTTAGCTATCTATCACTGGATTTGTGGAGAAGGAAAATGTTAATAGACTCTCTGTGATTTTGCATTCTTGTAAATCCAGCACACTAGGAATCCGATTTTGCAGAATGGCAAATTCAAGTTCAAATTTCACAGCTTAATGATCAGTGAAAATCTCTTAAAACAGATTCAATAAGCTACAGATTTTATGCTAATAGCTGTTCTTCATTCCCAGCAAGGAAAAGAAAAAAAATGTGTTATATAATGTCAAAAAATAAAGAATATAATGTCACTTGCCATAAGAAATAGGTGGTTCTTTCTCCCATCAATTCAGTGAAATAGCTCAGCTATAAAACCTAAAATGTCTCATGGTTTCTTTTAGATGAGAAACCAAAATATAAATTGTGGAATGAAATGAAAGAGTTAATAGAGAATAGTAAGACTGACCATATGGAAAAGGGACCTACAGGTTAAGGACAGAAAGGAGATTGTGATGGGGAAACATATCAGAATGATCTGTATGTGATATACATATGTACCCATGCCCAAAGTGAAGCTAATGATTCTGCATTTCAAAAGGTACCAAATTTTAAGATTTCCAAATGTTTACCAGTCTTTTGGGAATGGTTGTTTTCTTTTTTTTTTATTTCAGAGGAAAAAGAGAAAAACACAAAACAAAACAAAGCAGTGTAAGGTTACATATAATACAGAACTACAAAAAAAAACATAACAGTAAGAAATCACCTGTTAATAGATTACATATTATCATCATGGAGATAGTTGCTCAAATCACAGTATCAAAGAATACAAAGTAGACATTCAAACAGAGAGACTACAAACAGCTGTGTTCAATGATCCAAAAACATTAATATAGTCAGCTATTCAACACCCCTATACACACTTGCTGTTATATCCGTTAGAGCTCTTTTTTTTCCCTTCCTCTCTTTTTACAACAAAATTTACACATTTTAGATTTTATTACTCCTTAGTTCTTATTACTTTTTTGGGGGGGAGAGTAAAGTCAAATATGGCAGAACAAAGCTGTCAGTCAAAACCAAGGATAGACTTAGCACATGATGTAGAACAGAGTACACGGTTATTAACAATAGTTATCAACGTTGTCTCTTGTTTCCTTAAAAAGATTTGTCTATCTCATTAGATATTATAAAGTTGGACAAAACAGTAGAGAACAAGACCAATAAAACTTAGACATTGTAAACATTACAGGACTTCCAAAGGAGACAATAGTCAAACCAGAATGGGCATCTTAGTGAATCTTATTACCTTCAAAGTAGTTGCCTATACCCTCAGACTTGATACTATCCCACAGAATGGAACAGAGTCTAATCAGTCAAAACAAGATCGTGGGAGTATTACAGGACTTCAAAACAAGTTAATAGGAAATCGAAAAGAGTTACTATTATATATCCTAATTTTTAAAATTTTTCCCTTTATTAAAATAGACATAAGAAATAACTAAATAATTTTTTTAAAGAATAATAGTTACCATAGTGTCTGTCTTTTTCCTTGAGATATTTGGATAAAACTTCATATACTATAGCTTGAAATATTTCCATATCAAGAAGCCCAAAATAAAGCCTTTCTAATTAATAAGTGAAAATTTTATAAGGCTTCAAGGATATATAATGGGGAATCATGATTGCCACATATTTTCATATATTTGAATCATTACTTACATTAGGGAAACTATTCGGTATTCATACATGCGAGATTGATTTATTTCACTTATGAGTATGGTCTCAAGCTGCGCCCATTTATTGATAAATATCTCAATGTGATCCTTCTTTATAGCTGAATAATACTCCATTGTATAGAAATACCACAACTTTTTTATCCATTCCTCAGTTGATGGACACTTGGGTTGTTTCCAAGATCTGGCGATTACAAATTGTGCTGCTATAAACATAGGTGCACATATATCACTGTGGTATGATGCTTTCAGTTCTTCTGGGAATATGCCTAGAAGTGGAATAGCTGGAATAAATGGGATTTCCAATCCCAACTTTTTGAGAAACATCCAGACAGACCTCCACAAAGGCTGTACCAGTCTACACACCCACCAACAGTGCAGGAGAGTTCCTTTTTCCCCACAGCCTCTCCAGCATTTGTTGTTGTTGGTTTTCTTGATCCTGGCCATTCTTTCAGAAGTGAGATGGTATCTCAGTGTGGTTTTAATTTGCATTTCTCTGATGACCAATGATGATGAGCATGTTTTCATATGTTTATTTGCCATTTGCATTTCTTCATCTGAGAATTGCGTATTCATCTCAGATGCCCATTTTTGGATTGGATCTTTGAATTTTGGGGGTCTGAGTTTTTTTAATTCTTTATATGTTTTAGACAAGAGGCCCTTGTCTGAGAGAGAGTTCACTAAAATCTTTTCCCAGTTTGTGGGTTTTCTTTTCACTATGCTGGAGATTTCTTTTGACATGCAGAAACTTTTTAATAAGAAGTGGTCCCAGTTATTGATTCTGGGAAGTATTTCCCGTGTGGTTTGAGTTCTGTTCATGAATTCTCTACCTACTCCTATGTCTCCAAGGTTTCTACCCACTTTGTCTTCCAATAGATTTAGTGTTTCTGTTTTAATATTCAGATCTTTGACCCATTTAGATTTTAATTTAGTACATGGTGATAGACATGGGTCTAGCTTTAGTTTTCGGCAAATGGAGAGCCAGTTTTTCCAGCACCATTTATTAAAGAGACTGTCGTTCTTCCAGTGAACCTGCTTGGCTCCTTTATCAAAGATAAGGTGGTGGAGTGTGTTTGTAGTTGTGGTTGTATCTTCTAATCTATTCCATTGATCTTCGCCTCTGTTTTGATTCCAATACCATGTTGATTTTACTACTGTTGCTTTGTAGTATAATTTCAAGTCAGGGATTGTGATGCCTCCTGCTTTGTCTTTGCTGCTTAGAATTGCCTTTGCGATTCTAGGCCTCTTCTGGTTCCAGATGAAATTTAGGAGTGATTTCTCTAGATCTATAAGGTATGTTGATGGTATTTCTATTGGGATTGCATTGAATCTGTACAAGAGTTTTGGGAGAATGGCCATCTTCACAATGTTTGTTCTTCCTATCCATGAGCAAGGGATATCTTTCCATTTTCTGAGATCATCTTCAATTTCCTTTTTCAGTGTATTATAGTTTTCACTGTATAAGTCTTTCACTTCTTTCATAAGAGTAATTCCTAAATATTTCATTTTTTTTGCTTGCTAATGTGAATAATCCAGTTTCTCTTATTTCCCTCTCTGTGATTTTGTTGTTTGAGTATAGGAATGCTATTGATTTCTGAGTATTGATTTTGTATCCAGCCACATTACTGAATTTATTTATTGTATCTAAGAGTCTTTCAATGGAGCTTAGGGGGTGTTCTATGTAGAGTATCATGTCGTCTGCAAACAATGACATCTTAACTTCTTCTTTTCCTATCTTTGCCCCTTTTATTTCTCTTTCTTGCCTGATTGCTCTGGCTAGTACTTCCAGTACTATATTAAATAGGAGTGGTGATAAAGGACATCCTTGTCTTGCACCTGATTTTAAAGTAAAGGCTTTCAAGTTTTGGCCATTTAGTATGATGCTGGCTGTTGGTTTGTCATAAATGGCCTTTACTATATTGAGGTAAAGACCATCTATTCCAATTTTCTGTAGAGTTTTTATCATGAATAAATGTTGGACCTTATCGAAGGCTTTTTCTGCATCTATAGAAATGATCATGTGATTCTTATTTTTGGCTTTATTGATATGGTGGATTACATTTATTGATTTGTGTATGTTGAACCATCCTTGCATTCCTGGGATGAATCCCACTTGGTCATGGTGTATAATCTTCTTGATGATTTGCTGGATCCTATTTGCCAATATTTTATTGAGGATTTTTGCATCTGTGTTCATTAGGGAGATCAGTCTATAGTTCTCTTTTTTGTTGGGTCTTTCTCAGGTTTTGGTACTAGAGTAATATTTGCTTCCAGGAATGACTTAGGAAGGATTGCTTCCCTTTCAATTTCATTGAATAGTTTGAGGAGTGTCGGCATTAGGTCTTCTTTGTATTTCTTGTAGAATTCTGCAGTGAATCCATCTTGGCCTGGGCTCTTCTTGGTGGGTAAGGACTTAATTACATTTTCAATTTCAGTAACAGAGATTGGGTTATTCAACAGTTTTACATCCTCTTGATCTAGCTTTGGCACTTCATATGCTTCTAAGAATCTGTCTATTTCTTCTGTGTTATCAAACTTTTGAGAGTAGAGGTTTTCGAAATAGGTGTTGATGATCTTCTGTATTTCTATTGGGTCTGTAGTGATTTCTCCTTTTTCATTTCTTATTGCATGAATTTGAGCTTTTTCTTCCCTTTTTTTAATAAGGTTGGCTAGGGGCTTATTGATTTTATTTATTCTTTCAAAGAACCAACTCTATGATTTGTTGATTCTTTGGATTGTTTTTTTAGTCTCTATTGCATTGATTTCTGCTCTGATTTTTATAATTTCCTCTCTTCTTTTGGCTTTGGGCTTGACTTGCTCTTCTTTTTCTAGCTGTTTGAGGTGTAGCATCAAGTTATTTATTTGTATTCATTCTGTTTTCCTGATGTGGGAACTCAGTGCAATAAATTTTCCTCTCAGGACGGCTTTCATTGCATCCCACAGATTCCGGTAAGTTGTATCTGTATTTTCATTTTCTTTTAGGTATTGTTTAGTTTCTTCTTTAATTTCTTCTGTGACCCACTGATTACTCAAGAGTGTGTTATTCAGTTTCCATGTGTTTGTGGGATTTTTGCAGTATCTTTTATCATTAATTTCTAATTTCAGAGCGCTATGATCCGATAACATGCAAGGGATGATTTCAGCTCTTTTGCACTTGTTTAAATATGTTCTGTGAGCTAATATATGGTCTATTTTAGAAAATGATCCATGTACTGCTGAGAAGAATGTGTATTCTGATGTTGTTGGGTGGAACATCCTGTATATGTCTATCAAACCCATTTGTTCACAGGTATGATTCAGTTCTGTTATTTCTTTGCTCATTTTCTGTCTGGTTGATCTGTCCCTTGGTGTCAATGGCATATTAAGGTCTCCTGTTACAATTGTGTTACTGATAATTTGAGTTTTCATTTCTGTTAATAATTGTTTTATATAACTCGGTGCTCTGGAAGTTTGGTGCGTATATATTTAAGATAGTTATCTCTTCCTCTTGGAGTTTTCCCCTTACGAGTATGTAGTGACCTTCTTTGTCCTTTATGGTCATTGTTGGGTTAAAGTTCACGTTGTCTGCAAACCGAATGGCTACTCCTCCCTTTTTTTGGATTCCTGCTGCATGAAGAATTGTTTTCCATCCTTTGACTTTCAATCTGTGAGTATCCTTCTGGGTTAGATGGGTTTCCTGTAAACAGCATATGGTTGGATTTTATTTCTTGATCCATTCTGCTAGTCTGTTTCTTTTGATTGGTGCATTGAGACCATTTACATTAATGGTTATTACTGTTAAATGCTGGTTAATTGTAGGAATGTTATCTCTCTGCTGTTGCATCTTTATCTTTCTGTTCTGTTTAATTATTTGCTTTGCTTAGTGGTTTTTTCCTTTGTGTATCTAAACTGTCTTTCAATATCTTTTGCAGGTTCGGTTTGGTGTTCATGAAGTTCTTCAGCTGTTCTTTGTCATGGAAGTATCGTATTGCACCATCTATTTTGAATGATAGTTTTGCAGGATATATCAGTCTTGGTTGGAAATCATTTTGCTTTAGGATCTGGAATATTTCACTCCATGCTCTTCTTGACTTTATCGTTTGTGCTGAGAAGTCTGCTGTGATTCTGATAGGTTTTCCTTTATAAGTGATCTGTCTTTTTTGTCTGACAGCTTTTAATAATCTATTTTTGTGTTGGATTTCTGGGATGGTGATTTTATATGTCTGGGTGTAGTTTTATTTTGGTTATGAGTGTTTGGAGTTCTATATGCTTCACTGATCTTGATGTCAGTTTCTGATCTCATGCTTGGGAAATTTTTAGCTATTACTTCTCTAAATATCCTCTTGACATCCTTTATGTTGTCTCCCTCTCTTTCATTAATCCCTATCATTCTTATGTTATTCTTCTTTGCATAATCTTGCAGTTGTTGAATTGTTGTTTCCTGATTCCTTGTTATTTTCAAAAGATCTTTCCTTTCCTGTTCACTACCTGCAATCATGTCTTCAAGGTCTGAAATTCTATCTTCACTTTCATTAAGGCGGTTTTTACAACTTTCAGTGGAGTTTTTTATTTCCTGTATATCTCTGTGCATCTGCATTATGTATTCTGTTTGTTTCTTATATTGCTCGTCTAGGGATTCTATCTTTTTTTTAGTTCCTCCAATTTTTTATCTGTGTTTTCTTTAGATATATTTAGAATCTCTTTCATTTCTTTTATCATTTCTTTTTTTACCGGGGTGATTATTTCGAGTTTGAATTTCTTTAAAGCTTCCTGAAATTGCTTGTCAACTTCAGTAGCTATTATGTCCGATATATGAGGTTGATGGGATATATTTTCTTCTATATACATTGCTCCTAGGGTTTCCTGAGATGGGCTGGAGGTTTGAGGTTGTAATTTGGTCTTTCGTTTTGTCATTTTCTATATTTCTGTGTTTCAAGTGTTATTTGAAAGCTTCCTCAGGATCTGTTGAAAATCCCCTTCTATGCTTGGAGCTACTGAGACTCTGACACCGCACTACCCCAAGCCATTGGGCCTACAGAACCAGTGGCCCTCCGCTGCCTGCTCAGAACTCCGCAGTTCCAGACAAGCTGGGCCTCAGGGACACTGTGCGCCCACCTGCCCCTTGGAAGATCCACAGCTCTTCAATCGCAGCCGGGTTAGGGTGCTCACCACAGGCCACGGTGCCTCAGGAGCCTGTGATCCCTCCCTGCTTGCAGAGATATCCACAGTCCTCTAGGCAAAGGAAGGGACTTCTGCAGGCACTCCAGATCCGCCCAGCTCCTCCTCTGCAGCCAGATGGCTAGGCGTGGCTGTCTCAGGGGTTAGTGTAGGCCCGCCCATCCGTCAGGAGCTCAGCAGACTTCCAAGTGTAGCCGGGAGGGATGGGGGGAGGTGGCTCTAGTGGCCTCTAACCCACTGCTCCACTTCACTGCACCCAGAAGCCTGGGGGGTCCAGAACAGTCTGAGATTTGGGCAGACTGTGCTGGGCACTCACCACAGGCTGAGGTGCCTCAGGAACCTGCGATCCCTCCCTGCTTGTAGAAGTATTCAGTCCTTCAGACAAAGGAACGGGCTTCTGCAGGCACTCTGGATCCGCCCAGCTCCTCCTCTCGGAATGGTTCTTTTCAACATGTCTTACAAGGCCATTCTGTTACTTCATGGTCACAATTTCTTAGCAGACATTAAAAACAGAACTTGACATTAATGCAGTCATTAAACTGAGACCCATTTTACTGTGAATTTTTTCTTTTTTTTATTTAATGTAAGGAAAGACTAAAAAATCAGTAGAAATGATACCACTTTCAAAGTGAAAATAAACAGTAAGAAATCTAAATACAATGATTACATATGCTGCTCATAGAAATAGTTAATGAAACAAAAAAGTGAAACATATGAAGTGGGGAATCAAACAGAGAATGCAAACAGTTTTGCTCAACTCTTCAATAAAAACTTTGTAATATGGTTATCAGTCCTATATGTGATTTTTTTTTATGGAAATGAAAAGCTAGGGAAATCCTATGGACATACATCTTGGAATCAGTGTAAAGAAGTATTCCCTTGTACTGCAGAAGGTAATGTGAATGTGAAAGAAGCAGAAACACACCACAATATTCAGATCCATGAAAAATATTGCAGTGGAGACAAATCCTACGTATGTCAGCAATGTGGAAAAGGGTTCACCAAATCTGGACATTGTAAGCAACATGAAAGAATCCACACTGGAGAGAAACCGTATGTATGTAAGCAATGTGGGAAAGCTTTTAACACAAGGGCAGGTTATAAAAAACATGAAAGGCTTCACACTGGAGAGAAACCCTACGTATGTAAGCAATGTGTGAAAGGTTTTACCCGATATGGACATTGTAAGCAACATGAAAGAATTCACACTGGCGAGAAACCATATGTATGTAACCAATGTGGGAAAGGTTTTAGCCGACATGGACATTGTAAGCAACATGAAAGAATTCACACTGGCGAGAAACCATATGTATGTAAGCAATGTGGGAAAGCTTTTACCCGACATGTATATTGTAAACAACATGAAAGAATTCACACTGGCGAGAAACCATATGTATGTAAGCAATGTGGGAAAGCTTTTACCCGACATGGACAATGTAAGCGACATGAAAGTTCACACTCAAGATAAAACCAGTGTGTATAAGCATCATGAAAATTTTTTGTGCGCAAGTACATATTGCATAATGAGTGAAAAACTTCACACTGGGCAGAAAACTTATATATGTAAGGAATGTGGGAAAGGTTTCAGCAGAAATGCTCATTGTCCAATACATGAAAAAATTTACACTGTTGAGAAACCCTGTTTATGTGAAGAATGTGGGAATGCTTTCACCACACATGGATTTTGTAAAATACATCAATGACTCCACACTGGTGAGAAACCCTATGTATATAACAATGTGGCAAAGCTTTTACCACATACAGTCATTGCAAAACACATGAAACAATTCACACTGGGATGAACCACTGGCTATGTAAGCAAGTGGAGACACTTTCAGCAGCCAGATTGTAAGTGAAATATGTGAAGAAACTCACACAAGAGATAAATCCTATGTGTTAGGGGAATACTTTCAGCACACATGATCATTGTTAAATATCTGAAAGAGCTCACTGGATCCTATGTGTATTAACAGTGTGAGAAATACGACAATCCATGTTTGTTGTTAAATACATAGAAAAATCAGCACTCTTCAGACAGTTTAGATCTAAGTTTACTTTAAAAATTCCAAGTAGACCTGAAGAAATAATCAATACAGAAGTTTGATATCAATATTTCTTCACAAATTTTCCAGAAATGACAAATATGAAGTGGAGCTCTGCTCAAGTACATATTTTGTATGGTTTTCACTTAATCACTTATACCTCTTTAGATTTTTTAAAGTGTCTTTGTGCTTCAACATGGCATCTTGTAATTAAACATGGTAAACTGAAATGGGCTTTTCACTTTCAAGTATGGATAGTGTCCATGTATTTAATATTTCGTCTTTAAACCTTAATTTTTATATTTTTGGTGAATTATTAAAGAAAAAAAAACCAAAAAGTGTAGAAATAATACAGAAGTTCTGAAAAATAAACAATAAGAAATCACTAGTTGATTAGTTACATATTGTCATCTTAGAAGTAATTGTTCAAGTTACAAAATTAAAAAATACAAAGTGATAGACAAATAATAACACTGCAAACACTTCACCTCAGTGATCCCACAAAAACTTATTAATATGCTTATCTGTTCTACAATCTTGTTTTTTATCTTAAAGACGGTAAGATTAAACATGAGAAAACAGAACAGTTCATAAGGAAACAAGGAAACACAGGTTTCAAAGCATGTCCACTGAGGTGTTCATTTTCTATCTTACTGTCTCTAGTTTTCTTCAGAATAGTTGTTCCTATCTTCACATGCATTGAATATATACTGAACATTATAGAACTAATCAAATAATTACAGGATGATGCAGGCTTTTTTGATTTTCAAGACTGATTTTGGGGAAGTTGATAATGATTACCATAATGTGTGTCATTCTCTTCGTAGTAGACGTCTTTATTTTTATGTATGTTGAAACTCAACATAAGAGACTAAACTAATATCACTCTGAACAGTGAATAATAGTATCCTGAGAAGGAGAAAAGTGAGGAATTGCCTACATAAAGAAGGCAGAGCACATTGTTAAAAGTGTATCAGGATTTAAAAGCTACAGTAGTTCTGTTGCTCTGTTTAGTTTGATTATATTTTGTTCTGGTCTGTCTACTCATTTTAGATTTGAGGGCACAGAGAGATAACCCAAAAATGGCAGGTTATACCATGATGGTAACTGTCCTTAATTTGCTATTAGCTAAAACTGAAACCCTGTATTACTTACATTGTCTTACTATGACTGATCTTACTTGAAGCTGGTTTGTTTGAATGTTATTTGGCCTTGACTGATTTTATTCACATTTGGTATGCTTGCTGGTATCAAGTCCAAGAGTAGAGGAACTACTCTGAAGATGATAAGTTGTGAAAGATATATATTGGGAGGCTGGGGATTTAGCTCCGTGGTTTAAGCCCCTGCCTGGCAAGTGTGAGGTCATCAGTTTGATCCCCAGTTCCAAAAAATAAATAAATAAAAGATATAAATTCCAGGTTTATTTTTTTTTATTTAAGGAGAAAAAAAAGAACATAAAAGAACAAAGCTGTAAAAGGGTACAAATAATACAGAATTTAAAGAAAAAATACAGTAAGAAATCACTAGTTAATAGGTTACATATTGTCTTCTTAGAAACAGTTGTCCAAATTATAAAATTAAAGCATATAAAGTGAACATTCCTACAGCGAGATTGCAGACAATGATCTTTTCAATGATCCAACAAAAGCTCAGTAATATAGTTTTCCTTCCTACACACTCAAATAGGCACTTACATCCTTTAGACCACCTTCATTTCCTCTCTTCTTCACAATAACAATTACACTTTTGGGTTTTTTTTACTCCCATCGTTCTTATTACTTTTTTTTGAAGGGAATAAAACCTCAAGTGAGTTTACAAAACAGAGTTGGTTAGAACATAAGGATGGGCATAGTAATTGATGCAAAAATAGAATACCAGGTGATCAAAAATGGTTACCATTGTGCCTCTTGCTATTTTTAAAATGAGTTGCTATATCATCAGGTATAATAGAATTGATCAAAACAGTACAGAACAAGACCAATAAAATCTACACTGGAGACCTTACAGAATTTCAAAAGAAGATAACAGTCAAACCATAATGGGCAACATAGTAAATCTTATTGCCTACAAAGTGATTGCCTATACCCTCAAACTTGATACTATTAAAACAAAATAGAATATAGTAAAATCAGGCAGAACAAGATGCGGAGAGCAATACTGGGGTTAAAATGAGGTTAATAGGAAAACAAAAAGTTACTATAATATATCCCGCTATTTTTTAATTTAGTATTCCTTTAATTGAAAAAAAATAGAACAATTTTTTTTAAATGTGTGGAGATCGAGATTAAAGAGACATTGTAATAGAACAACACAGGTCAGAACTGAACAATTAAAGCATCATTTTATTTCACCACCAGGTAATCTAACATAATAGTAGTCACCATAGTGCCTCTTTCCTTGAATTATTTGAGTATAACTTCGTATACTGTAGAATCAATCACATCAAGACAGTGTGAAGCCGTTCAAGAGAATGAAAGAATTACAGGGTATTTAGAACCAGTTAACAGAAAATGAACAACGATTTCTATATTATCTCTTTGCCTGTAAAAAATTTTATTTATACTATCACAGTAAAATATATTAAGATACAACATGTTAAAACCAGTGGAAACATGTACAACAACTTGATGGGAGTTCCAAAGAAAATGATATTAAATCAGCACTAGCTTTTATGATGTGTTATTTTATTCAGAATAGCTATTTGTACTATCACCGATACTAAAATTGAAAAACCCAGGGTAAAACCATTGCATTTAATGAGTGAAAACATTATATGGATTCAAACCAATATGATTGGGTATCAGGATTACCACATACTTCTATGTATTATCATTTCTTATACTAGGGAATATATTTGGTATTTATACATGTGAGTTTGATTTATTTCACTTATGAGTATAGTCTCAGTCTGCATCCATTTATTTATATGTCAATGTGATCATTCTTTATAGCTGAGTAGTACTCCATTGTATAAAAACACCATAAATTTTTTTTTATCCATTCCTCAGTTGATGGACACTTAGGTTGTTTCCAAGATCTGGCTCTTACAAACTGTGCTGCTATAAATATGGGTGCACATATATCACTGTGGAATGATGGTTTCAGTTTTGTGAATATGCTTAGAAGTACAATAACTGGGTCAAAAGGTGCTTCCAGTCCCAGCTTTCTGAAAAATCTCCAGACTGACCTCCACAATGGTTGTACCAGTCTACACTCCCACCAACAGTGCAGGAGAGTTCCTTTGTCCCAACAGCATCTCCGACATTTGTTGTTGGTGGTTTTCTTGATCTTGGCCATTCTTTCAGGAGTGAGACGAAATCTCAGTGTGGTTTTAATTTGCATTTCTCTAATGACCATTGATGGTGAACATTTTTTCATGTATTTATTTTTCCTTTGCAATTCTTCATCTCAAAATTGTTTATTCATCTCAGATGCTCATTTTTGGATTGGGTCTTTGAATTTTGGTGGTCTCATTTTTTAAAATTCTTTATATGTTTTAGACAGAAGTCCTCTGTCTGAGGGGCAGTTCACTAAGATTTTTTCCCAGTTTGTGGGTTTTCTTTTCACTATATTGGAGATTTATTTTGATGTGCAGAAACTTTTTAATAAGAGGTGATCCCAATTATTGATTCTGGAAAGCATTTCACATGCGGTTTGAGTCCTGTTCATCAATTCTCTAC